TTTGCAAATCCAGAGTCTTACATTGGGGCCTAGCAGAGACATTACAGCAAATACCAAGTGTCTTCCTTATGTAAGGGGTCATACAAGGGAATACAGAATAAATATGACCTAGTCACTGCTCATGAGGGACATATAAGATCATTGAAGAAGATCAGAGAAGTACAAAGGAACTAGAGGCAGACTAAGATGCACCCAGTGAGACAGCTTTGTCTAAGCTACCTGTGGAATCAAAGGAAAGTGATACCGTAATGGGTTCATCCCAGTGATAGTGTACCCTACTTGGACAACTTGAACAAGGCTTCAGTTGGCAGAAGACAGAGTTGAGGGTATTTCAGGTGAAGGACATGGTGTGAGTAAAAAGTCAGAGGTGGCAACGCAGGGTGTGTTTGGACGTAGTAACTGTGCTAAGTTGCAGCAGGGGGAAAGAGCCTTTGGGAAAATGCTCAGAATTGTGCTTTTTCAGATTAAGTGGTTTGAGGCAGGAATCTTGTGGAAGTTTATGGCAGTAGTCCAGGAGGAAAAAAACTCAGGTGATTACAGGAAGACTCAAAGAGTGGATGAATTGAAACCTTGCAGAGAGACATTCTCTGTGGTCTTTGGAAACAACACAGAAGGGAAAGAGCTGATGCCTGGGACTGTCCACCTTTACAAACAGAAAACCATACTACTTTCACTGTTATTTTTTCACCCTAATTATTTTTTTTCTTTCGTATTTCATAGTCTTTGGAAATGGAATATTGTTTGTGGGACAAAAAGAAAAATAGAAATAACATGATTTATTCAATGAAGAAGGTTTTCTGGGGGCAGCCAATAGATACTGAAGTAGTAAGAAGCTAAGAAAACTGTTGGCTATATAGCACAGAAGCGCAAACCCAGGCATGGAGTGGAAAGTGGCCTGTCTTTGCTAACAGAGGGCCAAATTCCTCCTCAGGATTAGCCACCTCTTTTTCCTCCAGAGTTGCCTAAAAAAATAAAAATAATAATAAAAAACACAGCAGAGAATGCTGTATACCCTTAACCAAGTCTCAGTGAGTTTAAGACAGGCCCTACCTTTGGGCACTCAGGGAATCCCATTCTCAGCCCCTCTTACTGGTCATCTTTGGCTGTGGGAAGGATGGCACTGGGGGTCTGTTGGGAATTTCTCCATAATTGCAGTTCTGAGTCCCTAATGCATACACTCTCCTTGCTAGATTTGTTCTGCTGGGTGACAGCTATCGATACTCAGACAAGGCTATTAACTTGCCCAAGTCCACTCTGCCCCACCTTTTTTGAGAATTATTTCCTAATCTCTTGGTGACACACTAGAGGCATTGCAGTACAGGTAGAAGCAGCTAAGTATTTCAGCCAGCCAGGCAAGAGAACTTGAATGCTGGCTCCTCCATGTACTAGCTGTGTGACTTATGCCAAGTCACCTAACCACTTAGGGACTCAGAGAAGCAGGGCTGTTGTCTCTAGATGATTAAAATGAAAAACTGTTTGTGTACCATCTATCCTTTCACAGTGTCTGCAACTACTGTGGGCTTATAGTTTTTTTTCTTCCAAAGAATTTGGGATTTTTTTCCTAACGCTGCTATTTATTTACTTTGCTCGTTTCTGAATCTGAGCTTTTAGACATGAAGCATCCCTGAGGTTTACTCTAAGAAATACTAGCTTGTAAAATAAGCAACATGTAAAGAGCTTCTGGAGGGTGCAATTACTGAAGCTGCAGAGCTTTTACCAAGCTGCTCTGCTTGTTATTCATTAACACAGCAGCTTGGTAAACTTAGGTAGATACATTCCTGTAGGCTCCACAGGATATGTTTACTCTAGTAAACTAAGTAATCAAAGCAGTGTGTCCTGTTGCACGACATTATCACTGTCCACCACATACTAGTGGTGTTTATTTCTCTAGATCGTGGGCTTGTATATCAGGATAAGCCTCATGCAGAGCTCATTTTATCATTTATATTAAAGATAAGTAGAGAAGAAAGAGAATGCTTTTTGAAGTTAGGTTACTGTAGTTTTCTCATGGTTTATAAAAGGGGCAGAGATTTGGGAAAAGGAAGCAAATATTTTGGCTAATGTGGTCAAACACTCTTTTCTGTTGACAAGTTAAGATAGTCAGGTGTTCTGCATTTTGCCACTTTCCTTTGTTATTTTATTATTTTTTTTTCATGAGCTCAGCACAATAGGCAGAACTCAAGGAAAGCCCATAGATACAAATCCATTCAAGACTAATATTAGAGACAAAAGAATAATAAGAATCCTGTAACAGCCTTAGTCTGTTTATAGTGTTTCTTTTTTGGAGGAATCTAGCTTTTTAACACTTGGAGGAGGAGTCACAGGACTATCTGAGGCCCTGGGGGAAAGATGGCTACTGCCTCTTAAGGCTCTTATGGTGCAATTTGATCTTTTAAAATGTGACCTTTTAAACACTTTGTATTATGGCTGTGAGCATTATCAGTTGAATTTAACGAGTGACTGGCGTGTAGAAAACCCTTTGAGATTGCCTGTACCAAGCTTGCACTAAGGTAGACCTGGGGATGCTATGGCATCTGAATGGTGAGCATTTTCGAGGAGAGGCTTCTGAGAAAGCAGTTTCTGGCTAATGAATTGGCATGCTGGTGGGTGGTAACAGAAGTTTGAGATCCACGCCCTGTTCTTGAAGGTATTTGTACTTGGCCTGCAGGACTAATACAAGAAACAACCAGTACACGGTAGCTTGTGACCAAGCTTAATTATGAGCTCTAAGTGTTCATGCATAGGGCACGTTTATAGGAACTGAAGCTTTCAAGAGAAGCAGCAGTGCAGTTGGGTGTTTAAGGGGGTACAGATGAGGTTGCTAGGTGAAGCATTTAAAAGATGCAGTGATTTGAGAGGCCAAGGCGGGCGGATCATTTGAGGTCAGGAGTTCAAAACCAGCCTGGCCAACATGGTGAAACCCTATCTCTACTAAAAATACAAAAATTAGCTGGGCGTGGTGGTGGGCGCCTATCATCCCAGCTACTTGAAAGGCTGAGGTAGGAGAATCACTTGAATCCAGGAGTTGGAGACTGCAGTGATCCTAGATTGCACCACTGCACTCCAGCCTGGGCAACAGAGTGAGACTCCATCAAATGAATGATTGAATGAATGAATGAATGAATGATGTGATGGTAAAGCTGGCTAGTCTAGAACCAAGAGGATTTGCCAAAAAGAAATATTTTAAAATGGAAGCAACTGAAGAGGACTTAAAACCATCTTCTTCAGTCCCTTGTTTTACTTCTGGCAAGCCCTGGGAGCTGAAGGGGCACAAGGCTGACGGGACAAAGCAAGCTGTTGTGAGCCGGGATTATGGGAAACCTTGAAAGGCAATGCAGTGTAGAATTTAGGTGCTTGGATGCCTTGTGAGAAACGAATTGCATGGTGGGAGGACTTTTTTAGGAATGATTTAGTTTAGGAGCATGAATGGTGCTAAACTTGTGGTATTGCCTGAGAATCCAGCATTGTTATTCTTGCCATTGAAGAAATAATTCTTTATACTTACCCCTTTGGTTTCTTGGTCTTTTGGCTGTTTGCTTTCCTATCTCCTTCCCACCCCCCCATCTTCAGTGCAATCACCTCTATGTTAATGCTAGGTAAGGATTACACTTCCCAGGGCAATTTGCATTTTATTAATAACTGGAACACCATTTCAAGAGAAAACAAGGCATCTAAAAGTAGAGCTTCAGGCAACAGTGACTTCAAATTTTAAGGCTGGTAAAGTATCTTTCATGTATCCCTAAAATCAGGATATACAAGTGGAACAGATTAGAAGCGGGGGGGAACCTAAAGATATTGTGTGTCTGGCACTTAGTAAGTACTCATATTTTTAAATGAATGAATTAAACTTTGTAGTGAATGAATGAATTGTTGAATAAGGCTCAGGGGTGCAGGGTTTTTAGGGAGGGAATAGGAAGAATAGTGGAATTACGTTCCTTTTAAAGGAGGGATTATAAATGTTAAGTTTTATAAATTTTTAAAATTAAAATATTTAATTATAAATTTTAACAGAGGAATTTTAAAGAAGGACTTGGTGACTGTGTGATCCCAAAATGTGTGGAAGAGAACATTAAAATATGTATACATAGTTACAGAATCTAGCTGTTTAGGAGAGTATCCCTGACAGAACCAGAACCCAGAAGAGTTCTGTCTTCAATCATATGAACACACAACCGTCATTTTTGAGTACACATTTGAAAACATTCCTTCACTTCACCTGTCTACAAGTTAACTTATGTGAATCACTGCCCTGCTTCCTGATTATTCTCCCTGATGTCCTCTGTTCAACTTTTTCTTCTGTTTCACTATGCCCAGCGAAATGGGAGGAAAAGTAGGGCTCAGTATGAATTGGATACCCAGATTTCTTACAAAAGGACCTGAAGAATTTTTATCCTTTCCTTATTCTACTTTTATCACCACTTTGAATTTGTCAGGTCAAAATTTCTTTAGGAAAACCTGTTTATTTCAGAAAAAAAAGGTATAGGCCATTGTTTAGAAAGTTATGCTTGCAATGACTCACACTTTTTGCCTCTCTTTTGCATGGGATATGCTGCCCTTAGTTATGCAGAGATAACAGGCTGACTTGCCTCCCAAAAGCATTCTTCCTTGACAGACTGGTTTGCTCTAATCTGTATAAACACTCTTGCCTGCTGACCAGTAGTCTTGTATTTATGAGGCCCTTAGAAAACACTGCAAGCTGCAGAGTGACCATGAATAGCAAACTTAATTTGGTTTAATGTGTTTTGGCTTGCTTGACCTCACCAGAATAAAAATGTGCCTGCTTAAATTATTGTATTGGGACTTAAAAAAAATTCTAGAGACATTTATCTCTTTGGAAGACTCTCAGGATCGTTTTAGCAAGGGTTTAAGTCCACGTTTAATGTCAGATAGACTTGAAATATTTAACATAGAGCTTTAATCACAGAGTAGGTTTTTGTAAGTTCTGAATTTTAAGTCTGAGTGACTATTTTTTTCTTACTACTTTTTTTTTTTTTTTCTAGACAATTGGCTGGCAACGACCTTTCTTTTATCCACCCAAAGGCCTTGTCTGGGTTGAAAGAACTCAAAGTTCTGTAAGTAATGCAATTTTAGAGTTTCACAGCTGGCTGTGTATTTTCTTTCTGCATAGTCAACATGCTTGGAACTAGGTGAAGCACAGTTTTTTTTTAGTTCAGGATTAAAAGATTTAAGGAGTGGCCAGTGGGTAGTGTGGGAGGCTAGAGGTTGATTTAGGCAACCCTGCATCTGGATAACAAAAGGTAAAACCTAAATAATAGGCATTCTGACCTCCAGTATACTATAGTTGAATGTTAGTTAGGCTTTTTGGGTGGCTAATGCATTGAATCAAACCCATACTTAAGTTTTACTGGTAGGGTTTTGTTTCTACTTATTTTATAGCAATAAGAATTTTGAATTACCTGACCCTAGAAAGGAAAAAGGCTTACAAGTGCTCCAAATGTTAAAATAAATTTAGAGCTAAAGGGCATTCACATGTCTACAATTTATATTGCCAGTGAAGGATGAGGAAATAAATTCCTGGCAGTGGTCAGGAGCCTGGAGTGTGGCAGCTTAGGAAACATGTGAACTGACTGCCCCCACTTCTGCCACTACCGTGCTGGATGACCTTCAGCAGGACATTAGACCTCTCTGGTTCAGTGAGCTAGGTGGGACTTTTACCTCTTCCATTCTGTGGTTATGATTCATGTCAGGCAGTCATTTTATTAATGTGACAGGAATGGCTTTAGGCAAAAAACCAAAAGGATTTCATTTTCAGTATGGATCTATGCCTCTATTCGGCAGGCCCTAACTAGTAGATGATCAAAGCTCTGTTTCTCTTCTGGCCCCACATGCATTGAGGACATTGCTGCTGTTTCTTAAGAGCTTGGGATCTTCCATCCGCTTGGCAAAATTGGCTTTACCTGATGCCCATGTTGCTGGGCTCTTCTTTATTCCAATTTAAAAAGGCATTAGGAATTCCAGCGGATTTGCTTATTATACCTCCCAGTTAACTTGTTATAGCTTCTAATTAACATTAACTAATGGTACCCAGGGTGACGTACATTAACTAGAGTGCCTTAATTACCAGGAACAAAACCACCCTTGGAAATGTGGATTACTCAGCAAGTCTGTGTTCTGGCATGGCTTGGGATAGCAGTATAGATTTCCCTTCTGGCTTTACAGCAAGTGCTTCTTGAAGTTTTGCAATTCTCTTGTGTTAGATGCTTTCTACCTCTACCTCCCTGTTTTCCCTTTGGAAATGTTTTTTAGAAAACAAAAAAAGGCTTTTAATTTTTCTAAGAAAAAATGGTAACAATTACTTGTTATTCACTAATCAAAAATTTCTTTCAGAACGCTCCAGAACAATCAGTTGAAAACAGTACCCAGTGAAGCCATTCGAGGGCTGAGTGCTTTGCAATCTTTGTAAGTAACTTCTTGGTTTCCTGCATTCTTGACTTAAGAGGAGACTACTCTGGCTGTTAAAGGTGTAAAGAACCGGAATCCTAAGGAAAGAGGAGATTTATCCTTTCATCTCAGATAAAAAGAGAGATAGCTAGGCAGTATTATCAAAATGTCCTTTGGTGAAGGAGAAGGAGGTGGTTCTGTTTACCTTTTCTCTTGTCTTAAAGGCTCAGAGAAAGCTACTGGGTATTCACTGCTGGGTGTACTTCCATGAACATATGCATAGCTGGTGATCAGCACTTTGGAACCAGTTATGTGTGGACAGAAGTTTTAGTGTCTTGTGACTTGACTGTCAAGAAACAGCCACAAAGAGGTTTCTGTTTCACATGGTAATGATAATCAGAACAAATTGATTATAATTCCTCAATTTGGTGAAGGGAACTTCCCGGAAAAAATGAAAAAGTATTCTTCAAAACAAGGAACTTCATTAGCTTCTACTAGAATAACGAATACAAATTTGCATTGCTCACATCATGTCCTAAATAACAAATACAATGGAACTCTGGGGCATAGTTTCTCTAAGTGTAGTAGTCTGACCACGCTTTGCAACAGACTCACTAGGGAAAGATTGCTAAAATGCAGATCCCTAGGCTGTATTCTAGAAGTAATGCTGTTTTCTTTTTAAAGGTAGAATTCAGAAGTCTAATTTTAAATGATCTCCCTAGAAGCACTCTGAATAAAAAACGTTAACAGTTAATCCCTCTATGTGTGCTAGTATAAAACTGCATTTTAGTGACATCACATATTTGTATACTAATTTGTCTCTTAGGTTTTGTATTATACTTTGAAATAACTACAAATAGTAGGAAAGGCACACAAATTAGAAAACAGGATGAAAATGACCGAGCTGCTTGTCCCATCAATTTGCTAACATAAAGCCATTTTTAACTGCACCAAAGAGACATCCCTGCAAATTATAAATCATGGATTACCATTTGATTTTAGATTAGATATTCTAGTAGTTAATGAGCAATGAATGTGAAACTAAAAATATATACTACTAATAAAAAAATATGCTGTAAAATTAAACTTTAAACTGTATCTAACACATAAACAAGGAGTATCCAGGGTGTTGGCCATTTAGTTCCTGGTTTAAAAGGAAGTTTAATTGAAGGTGGTCTGTATTAAATAGCTCCCTTCACTAAAATGGTAAGTTAGGAATATAAGGATTTTTCACCACAGCTAATTGGGAAGGTTCTGAGAAGACTTTAAAAATGAATCAGTGGGAGCTGGGCATGGTGGCTCACGCCTGTAATCCCAGCACTTTGGAAGGCCAAGGTGGGCAGATCACATGGTCAGGAGTTAGAGACTAGCTTGGCCAATATAGTGAAAACCCGTCTACACACACACACACACACACACACACACACACACACACACACACACA